TTATCAACTTCATTCTCAGTATCAACAATATAAAGCTGTGAGAATTTAGCATAATCTCCTTCACCAGGAATCATACTACCAATCAAATGATAATTGGCTCCATGTAGTTGGAACTGGTTAGGACCTTTTCCCTGTGGATTAGATCTATCAACTTTACCGCCAAGGGAAGTCATACTGAATAACATGTTGTAAGCTCTGATATTCTCACGGAAATGCCTGCTTAGTGCATCATCCTTACTCAGCAATTCTCTAATTAACTCAGGTGCTTCTTTAAGAAATGGCAATTTAACTGCTCCCTGAAGACAGCAAAGAGAGAATTTTGGTTTCTTGTTTTTTCTTCTTTTGTTAACACGCTCATCATACCACATCATAGCACCACAGTATTGATATTTCCATTTTGGATCACTGTGATCTAAATAAGGAATGTCAATGAGGGCTTCTGAAAAAGAAATCAAATAAAGACAAATAAATAATTTTTTTATATGTAAACACTGACATTATGGACATATGAGTTTGGTTAATAGTAACATGTTTTTCTGTTTATGTGGTTAGATGCTCCTTTAGTATATTTTCTTCGTTTAAGACTAATTCCTTTTCTCCCTTTACTACATGTTCCCCTCTTATTCTGAACATGTATTACTTTATCTGTTTCAACTGATAATTCTGTTTCATATCCAGAACTGCTATCAGAACCCATATCTTCTTGACTATTCACATCATATTCCTGTTCTAGATCAGAAATTTCTTCTTCTGTTTGACAACAAACTTTTATTAGTATACATTAAAAATCAAAAGCCAAATATAAACTATATAGAAGATGATTACTACCTTCAAAAGGTGTGGAGTCAAATAAATTTACACGACAATCTTCCAAATTTGGAGTCTTCTTAGATTTTCTTTGTTTTGGTTGCTGTTCTGAATATTCAACTGTACAAATTGCATAAAATGGTAAATTTATGTCTTATGTCATATAAAGGTTTTGTTATTGATATTAATATTTGCAAATGAAATCAAATATATACTCACAGTTTGGTGTATAATTTTCTTTGTTTTGTGCAGAATATAATACACTGCTCCCAAGTGGCTCATGCCGTCTTCTTCTATCAGGTTTGTTTGATATGTCTCCTAACACCCTATTAGGTGTTCTCTTCTTAGCTGACTTTAAGGTCTGGGTTCCCGAATTAGACTGAATGATGGTGTCTAACCGAAAAACAAATAGATTTAGGACATATATATTATGTGAAATAAGCTGAATAATAAAATACAATATCAAAAACCAAACTTTAGTAAAAACTTACTTTTTGTAGCTTCTCTTCTTATGTCGGATAAAAAGGTATCTGCTCCAAGTTGAGCATAAGATTGACTTATTCTGACTGATGAAAGGTTTTGAACATTTTCATCAGCCAATGTTGCTGAAAATTGTGTATGAGTAATTATATGAGTAAGATAAAAAAGAGTATCTAACCAAAGCTGAAAAAAATGAAGCTATGTTGATAAAAACTGCTCACATTTGATTGCTTCGGATCTGATAGAACTTAGGAAATCCTTGCTGGCCATTGATGAGGTTGATTGTTTAATTGGTATATCTGTTAAATTTGATCCATCATTTATCAAACATTCACTAAGTTCTGCAGTATATAATAGGATACATTTAATACATAAGTCAGATTTATATATAAAAAAAAAAACACGAATATGTTAAAATGTACTATCAATATACCAGTTGAATTTATATATCCCTGGCATTGAGAGGAGTGAATAGATGCAGTAATTGGAACCGAGCATAAAGAGTATGGTTCTTGAGAAGACAATGATTGTCTAACACAAATAGGTGTTAGATATGAGTTCTCATCTAGTGAACCTAAAAAACAATTATAAAGAAGCAAATTGTACATTTAGAAAAACATAAAGCAAAACTGTAAACAGACATAAATTAGCAGAATGATCAATATAATGATTTACCTGTATCATTTACTGATAAATTTTTCCCTCTAGGACAAAGAGACTCTTCTAACACCACAGGTATCAAATTTGTTATGTCTGTAAATACCCTACCAAATATTGACTTCACAGGAACTGATGTCTGCTTTTCAGATGAATTAGGTTGTTGCAAATTACTTATAACTCTGGATTTAGGTGTAGAACACTTCCTCTTAGAAGATGGAGTTGCGTCAGTTAAACCTTTATCAACCAGTGAATTTCTTTTCTTCATTTAGAAAATGTTTCTGTGATCAAAATTGTTTCAAGGATTAGACGATTAAAAATGTAGGGTCTGATATCTTGCTAACAATAAAGTCTGTTTTGTTTAGAATCAATTAGATATTCTTGATATATTTTAATGCCAAAAAAGAATATTATCTCGTTGCTATATACCTTTAAAAAAGGAATCTATAATTAATTAGTTAAAGAAATCTTATTATTTTATTTCCTATTAACAGGTTATGATCAATAAGATGAGTAAGTCCCATTACGCAAGGAACAGATCACTTATCATACGGAAAGGTTAGTTATTAACAATTTGACAAACTTTTAATTGTATGTAGTAGTTGTAGTAAGTTACCATATAATGGTTAATGATAAATAAAGCTTCGTAACAATGCATTTTGTTCTAGAATAGTAAAACAAAAAGTTTTAGAAAATAGCTTGAATCTATCATGATATAGATAGAAGTATACGTAATAAAATAGAGTTTCACTTATTACATATGAACCCGGGTCATCAATTAGTGACCAAATGTTTGCATAAACAAAAACAAAAGAGTTCAATACTAAAACTGCAATAGGAAAACATCCAACAGAACATAATTAAACATAGGTCCTCCACCAAACAGCAATGAACATCTACTGGTTCTCTGCAACCACCTACATCAAGACATTGTCATCGTCAGCTCTTTGCTTCTCCATGAAATCATGACTGTGTAAATTCCACAAAGAGTGAGTGTAGAAACACAACAAAAGAAGGTAGTTTTTTTAATCATAAGCTAGAATTGAATCTTACATGTATCTTGGGACATCTACATCCGGAAACCTTAGGTTTAGGTAGAGATGGGAACAACCATGTTCACTCATTAAAACATTTGAACCTATATTCATGGATGAAAGTGATGTATAGTTAATAACAAATATAGACAGAAGTACTCTGTTTAGACTGATCAATACTCTTTTAGACTGACTAAATCCGCTAACTTGATACCTTTATATAAAAACATAAACACAAACACGATGATCAGATATGAACTGTAAGGAAAACCAAAATAAAACCAATAGAACCAAACAAATTTCCCGGATTTTAAAAAACAGAAGCAAATGTGGAAACTGTTGCCTTAAACCACTTATTGAAAACACAACTCCAAAAAGACAAAACACTGTTGGATGTCAACTACTTCATATTATTGTTCTTCTGCTTAACATCAGAACCCTTGAACTATAGACAAAACAAATTATCCTCATGAAAGTTCTATAGAAAAACTTACCAAAAACCTCTTGGATTCTCCAACCTCGGAGAACAGCGACTATAGGTTGGTAGTTGTAAGTAATCTTACTGATTTGTTGAGCATATTTGATTACAAACAACTCACAGCACCTACCAACAGCACAGCACTTGATCTCCTTACCCCTATAGTATGTTTGAACAAAACTTTTATGTAAAAAAAGAATTTCAGATTATATGAAAATAACAACACTGGATTTTACAAACTTAATTGAAGTCAAACTTACTCATAGTCAACTAACTTGAAAGCCACATATCTTGACTCATAATCTGTCCCTCCATTCTGACAGACATAAGGAAACCGTTTGATGGTAGTCACAGCCTTGACAACACCAATAGCATCTAAGGACATGATATTAAGATAAAAAAGAGTTCAGTAAGGTTTTTATAATCTAAAACTGTCTAAGATTACATAATCTCTTACCAGTCACAAACTCTTTTTCCTCTTCCTGTGCAAATTCAACAGTTTGTGGGAAAACAAAATCAAAAAAACTGTAAGGACATTCAACAGTAATAGGCCACATGGTAGTGTCTGCGATGCATTTGATTTCGACTGGGAAGCAAGAATATTTGGTTTTCTTCTCATCAGGACGCACAACCTCAAAGTCAGACATGCGATACCATAACCCTGGTTTCAATACAGCCAGGAAATTCCAGTGGTAATGGCGATTTGGAATGGTTGCATCGATCCTGTTTCCCTTTTGAAATCAAAAATTTTGGCATGAGTTTTAGCAAAACAAAGAAACATTCTATAAAAAAGAGCAAGAAACGTATAAGTCATAGAATTTTTTACCTTCTCGTCAGCCAATATCATTCTGATCTCTGTCCTCCAAGAAGAAGTAGGTTCTTTCCATAAACTTAATATCTTCACATGCACCAACCATCTAGTTGCATGAACATTCAAATCAGAAAGATAATGATGAGGTTCCATATTTAACAGAAACTTTTAGAATTGAGGAAAATGTTTTTAGATTTAGGGTTTCCCTGTGACTACTTCTCTGGAGATCTTGTTATATATTTATGAAGAGAAGTTCCTGTGAAGTTATATGAAACGTTTAATCCCAAAAAAAACAATAAAAGTTCAATATTATCTATAAGTGATGATTACATATGGACTGACATTAGCATTAAATTTGGAAAAGTAATAATAACAATGATTTGATATATTTAGAGTTTCCATACTTCTCTCACCAAGAAGATTTTTATTCTTTAAACCGTATATTTGTTATTAATTTCCTGAAATATTAATATATTTACTCTTTGTGTATTTGGTAAGAGGAGAATATTTGTATCTTACTCCATGAGAATAAACCGTAAAAATTACATATTTGATTCATTTTGACAGGATTAGGTGCATTAAGCTTATGGTGCAGTTGGAAAATACATGCTGAAGAATACCATAAAAGTAAGTCTTTTTTTACTATATATAAAAATGTAGCTTCTTGGAACATATCTTCTACATCATATATCGAATTAAGATGAAGGATTCAACTTAAAAACTTAAAGAACCAATAGGGAAAAAAACAAATGAAAAAACTTATAAAATTAAGAAAAAGTTCTTAGAGAAATATCAAACCAACATAATAAGAACACTGATGTATGTTTTCCAGTGATTAAAGAAACATTTAAAGAAACATTAAACAATAGATATGAACTGTAAGAAAAACCAATAGAAAAACCAATAAAACCAAATAACATTCCAAATTTTAGAAAACAGAAGCAAATGTGGAAACTGCTAACATAAACCACTTATTGAAAACACAAATCCAAAAAGAAAAAACATTGTTGGATGTCAACTACTTCATATTCTTGTTCTTCTGCTTAACATCAGAACCCTTGAGCTTGTCCAAATTGACTTTGTCTTCATCAGTGTTCTCTTCATGCTGCTTCACAGCAACACACTCGAGCTTGACTCCATCGACTTTATCTTCATTAGTCTTCACACCCTTCTCTTGCTTTATCTTCACAACGTTGATTGACTCAAGACAAAGTTTCTTAGTTGTAGAAGAATTATCAGCTGGTGACAGAGAACTGTCACTACTCCTCTTAGAAGATGGAGTAGTAGTCTCTGAAGGCTCTCCAGAGTAGGTAAGCAGCAGGCTCCCCTGAGTCTAAAACATAATAAGATTAGGATTGTTGATATATCGAATTCTTCTCAAATCATAGGGGGTAGGACCTCAGACAAAATTTATAATATTCCATACCTGATCAATTGAATCATCTGGTAGATCTTCCTCTCCAACACAATCATTAGCAAGAACTCTGGATACCTTATAAGTATCCAGTCCATTCCACACATTTTCATTCTCAACACAGACCAGATACTGGTATGTCTTACCAGTCAAATGTCTGATCGCATCAGGTAGGTTCTCTGGGTCCTCAAACTCATCGAAAGATCCATCAAGGAGACTGTTTGCTGGACAGCCAACAATCTCAGAAGCCATACTATCAAAAAGCATCAGCTTCATCTCACCAGTTGAATCCATTACTTTAACATGTAGCTTGTACCTGTTGAGTTCATTGTTACAATTAGACATTTCAGTAACAAATAAAACATTAATATATCAGTAGATTATGAACCATACCTTGCAACCACATTGCACACAGGTGATCGGCAAGAGTCACACCAGAATTGTGGCTTGAGAGTAGTTGTGACAACCTTAGACACTTTCTTATTGCATTTCCTACAGACAATATAATACCACGACCAATCTCTGTCAATATCATATATTGTACAGAGCACCTTAACCCTCCCAGTCTGAAAATAGGAACATTTAAAAGTTGGTTAGAATGCACCATGCAATCAAATTAGAATGTAAAAGAAAAAAAGAACTATTACATCAAACATCTCAGCGACTTCTTTGATGGTCTTCTTAGGAAACTGAAGATAGAAATCCCCTGTAGGCAGCTCGATCATTTCCTGCTTTGGTTTAGACTCAAGAAGAGTAAGAGCAAGCCCATCTTTTGGTAAACTTTCTTTGAAGGCAACAATCTCAGGGATGTCTGGATTGATCAAGATCTGAGATGTATTGAAAGCATTGGAGATACTCCTTACATCTAGAAAGCAAAACATAAAGAAAGTGTCATCAGCTAAATTTTTAAAAGATTTAAAAAAACTATAAGTATGATATTAATACCAAAACAAAATACCTTTGTAAGTCTTGATCTTAGCATATCTCACCAAACATATGACCATCTCACCAGCAGAAGCTTCACAGGCAGTGAAAACTTGTTCTGCAAATGAACCCCATAGAGTACAGGGTAGCCTTTCATCCCTAAATATTTTAATAGCAATAATAGATTCAAAAATAAGACTCTTTAATTTTAATGCAGATAGAACTAATGAATGAAACTTACGTATGATCCCTCAGTTCAAAATCAATCTTCTTAGTAGGTTTATTTTGCACGTCGATAGTCTCTATTTCACCAACATTCACGATTTGACCGACAACATCTTGAACCAAAAGAGAATAACAAAACGTCATTATATATTGCATAAAGGATTAGATGAAAATGAAAATATAGCTCATATGAAAATGTACCAATCAAGTAGTTCTGGTTAAGACCAGCAGTTAAAACATCATTGAAAGGAGTCAATGACAGGTAATAAGAATCAGACAATGGGTCCATCCTCACAACTCTTGTTTGGGCCATGAAGCCCATTTTGTAACGATGATCAGTTGCTTTGAACTGACCAGTTGCATAAGTCAATCCAAAGTTTTCAATAGCCTTCCACTCTCCTGGAACCATGAGCTTCTCAAAACAGTTGAGATGCTCTCTCTTCACAGACGCATGGATCTTCTTGCCCTACCATAGAAATAGAAATATATTAGTATATCATTAGACAACTTATTTTAATATATTGAACTAATATAGACATGACAAAGAATTCTTATTTTGACATCAGACAGAACCATGTCGAAAGTCTCACCAAACTTTGTGGTAAATGTCTTCCAGGTATGAAGGACACGGACCTGAACTCTCCAAGTGGTTTTGTATGGTTTGATGTCATCGAGGTAAGCAATTGCTTGAGCCATTTGTGATATCTAAATAAGAAGGATGCTAAGGTTAGAGGAATTTGAGTGATGGATTGGAAATGAGAATGACGTTGATATTTATAGCATTCTAGGATGCTAGGGTTTTTGGCTCCAATAATTTTAAAATCTAGGAGAATATCTTGGAGACAAAGCATAAAATCAAAGATACTATTAACAAAATATATTCGAATTTGGAATAGAATTGAATGATTGGCTATATTTAGATAAATGATGAATATTGTAGAGTTGGTTATGGTTAGGATTATATTTATGAGAGATAGTAATGTAGATTTTTTTGGGATTAGGCAATATATGATCAAATTTGCAGTTATTATGAGAGATAATTACATCGAATTTGCAATTATTATGATCGAATATGCTCATATTTAGATACCAAAAATGAACTAAATTTACAAAATAATTTGAATGGCTTAGATTGACTTATGTGGATGCTAAACCCGATTAAGAACTTGACTATGTGATTAAGAGTTAATTACTCCTAACCCACCCGAGTATTAACACGCGGATCTCATAAAGTTTAATGAAACTTTATGACCAAATTGCCCTTGTCGATTTTGATTAACAAAGAACAAAATCCAAAATTGAAATTGAAATTGAGGCTAAATTTGACCATTTTTCAATTTGTACTTCCCTTTTAATAATAAGGGGATTAAATCAAATATGAAAGTGTAGTCATTTTGTTAGTTTCATTTTGCTATAACGAGTACAAGTTGTGGTTTTAAACAACTTTCATTCTCGTGGATCATAATTCGATATTTGATTTTCAAAAATAACCACAAATTTACAAGTATGTAGATGATGATACAAAATTTGCAAACTACATTATGCAAAAGAAAATAATTTCTTTTACTCGGATTTACATGCTAGCTGCAACAATCCTGTGAAATCGATTGCAAATAATGACCATTTATTGCTTATTCGTTGAGAAATACTCTTCACTAGGTAAAATGTTTACCTAAAAACTAAAACATAACAAATGTTCATAACCTACATAGTAGTAACTAATGATCCCTCAGCTTGTAAGCTATGGTCGTCGAGCCACGAGATAATATCGGACAAGACACGGAGAATCATGTCGTCTGGTTCGCCTTCGAGCAGAGAATGATACGCATTTTCATACAAAATTATCTTCTTGTCTGGACTTTTCGCTTTCTCGTATAGCTCTCTGCTCACTGAAGGATCTGTCACTGTATCAGCTTCTCCATGTAGAATCAGTATCGGCAAGGACACCTGCAAAGATGAAACCAAGGAATGTTATTATTCTGATTCTGCTTTGATACTTTCGAGTCTTCTCATACTTTTTACCTCCTGCAATTGTTTTTCAATGTCCTGAGTTGTTCTAAGCATTTCTACTGCAGTGCGTAGCCTTGGTTTGCCACTGTAACAAATCATGTTGTATGGTGTCTGCAAATATTAAACAGGTGGTTTAGTAAGGAAATCGACTTCAGAAAAAAAAGAAAGTGATAAGTTCCTCAAATCTGTAATTTATGTTTTTACCATTTCCCTCTTCCTGATATCTCTAAACCCTGCTTCAGCTAAATCCTTTTGTGGAACCAACTTGTGTTTCGGTAGAACATTGGCTAGGCCGATCAAAATCTGTTTTAATACCGGTGGTGGAACCAAATCATCTGCAATCTAGAACAGATAGATATCTCATGTTAATGTTATGATTCGTAATCCGAGAGATTTGCTTAATGAGAATTCAAATAAGAACAAAGAAAAACAAGTCTTTACTTTGCACATTGGTGCTAGCAAGACTGCACCGGTCCATGCATTTGGTTGTTTGAGATGTATTTTGAGTGACACAGCTCCACCCATTGACTGTCCAAAGAGAAAGCTCGGTAGAGAACTAAACTCAGGATTCGCTGCAACCAAAAAGTTAAAAGTCTATCAGTACCTAAAACATGAGCCTTTCGTGAACCCAATGTGATTCGACCTTTTTACCTTTTATGTTGGAGTAATGCTCAATGACATCTTGAACAAGAAGATCAAAGCTAGGGATATAACCGTGCAAGCCCTCCGACAAGCCAAATCCCGGATAATCCATAGCGAAAACTCCATATCCCGACAATGCCAATCTCCTAGCAATCCCTGCATAAAGTTAGCTAAATCAAGCAACCCCATTTTCATAAAGAAACCATTGTCTTATAACAATAACAAAAGAAACATGCCTTCGAAGAAAAACGTGCAAGTATCTCCATAACCATGGCAGAAACAAACCAAAGCTCTAGGCTTAGAAGCTTCAGGAAGCCAGCTTTTAGAGAAAATCTCAACTCCTCTCGAATTCACCTCAAAAGACTACACAAAAATCATACATCATCACAAACAAAAATCAGTTGCTTCTAACTTTGATTCAAGAACAAATGAAACAACAAAACAAATCCTTCTCTTATATACCTCCTTTGTCTTAATCCCATTTTCTGGTGTCTGCAACATCACGGAAAAAAACAACACATTCAATAAAAAACAACAAATCTGAAACAAAGCTGAAGCAGAGTGGTCTAAAGTCTCAACCTTTCTTATACCCACTTCAACTGGAACAAAACTGGCCTAAAAAATCACCAATTCAAACGAATATATTCAATTTCATTTCATTTATTTTTTTACCTTGAAGAGGATATGATCGAGATTAAGCTGAATATCTTTCAAGGAATCACGAACACGACGACGCCCTGGAGCTTCGTCAATATTAACCTCCTTGAGTCGCCGGAGCTCCTCATTTTGATCCAGCGTCGCCGTCGGAGCCATCGATCTCCTTCTTTGCAACAACGAGCTTCTTCCTTTATCTACAAACCCTAGAGATAAAAAAGATTGTCCCTTTTGCAGATCAATCAAACTGATCCACGCAACAGCAAAATGTTATCTTCTAAAAAATCTTTTTTTTTCGTTTGAATTATTCTTAAAGATAACAACTTTTCTTTTTCCTCTGAAAAATAAAATAAATCTCAACTTTGAAAAAAAAAAAAAAAAGAATATGGATAATTGTGAATGAAATTAGTGACTATTGCTACCGTGTAAAGGACTGAAAAGCGTAAGCTTTGCTGATCTCAGAGCCATTAACAAATATTCTAAAAAGAATCATTCAGAATTTTGTATTCTAATAAGAAAAAACATCACCAAAATTGTTATTTTCCTACTTTTTTGTTTGTTTTTTATTATGGATAATACTACATGAAAGCCTTATAATGGTAGAAATCATTAGAATTACGCAATTATGATTAAGATGAAATGAGTTCTTGTCTTGATTAATGCTTTCATCGTGTGAACAATACTGTCGTGTCGGGTCTGAAAGCTTGAGATTGGATCCTCAAAATGATTCTGTGACTATATGCTAACGAGTCTGTGTCGTTAGATAGACGACAATCCATTAATGCGATGCCACGTGTAGATGATGAGTCAGGTCACGTGCATTTAGGTGAGGAGTTAGCATGATTTTTCTTTCAAAGGAGGTTAGGAAGGAAACCTCCTCATCTTCTATTTTTTTATATGGCTAGCTCAACAAACTAGATTTTCACATTTTTAAATAGTCTTCGTGAATTATTAAATAAAAATTACAAAAATAGAAACATCAGAAAAATTCATCGACTATGAATTTTATATTTTATATCAAAACCTTCTTTGCTATTTGGTTCTCAGACTTTTTTTTATAAAAAAAAATGAATGGTTCCAAAGTTAAATTATAAGCCACATCAATTCAACGGTTGATATAAGAATATATATAGCTCGGACTTTACTTTTTGTTTGGTGTTTTTCAGAAAATTCGAATGCTTCCAAGAGTAAATTACAAAGAAAAAAATTAAACATATTTGTGAGTGATACATGAAGAAGGTAAATATTGGGGTTGTATTCCAACCTTTGATACCGAGCCAGACTTTGAATACTTCGGAAAACACTCGAGGTCACCTCGAGGCAACATACAACTCACCTCGGGGAACATCCAAAGTCACCTCGGGACAACGTACTACTCACCTCGGGGAACACCCGAGATCACCTCGGAGCAACGTGCCAATCACCTCGGGGAATACCCGAGATCACCTCGGGACAACGTGCCTATCACCTCGGGGAATACCCGAGATCACCTCGGAGAGATCTGCCATCCAGCTCGGGTACCCGAGCCGATCCTCTCTGGGTATCCGAGCCAGTCATCTCCGGGTACCCGAGCCGGTCATCTCCGGGTATCCGAGCCAGTCATCTCGAGTTATCCTCTAGGCGCCTCGGCTCGGGTTGTATATCACACCGTCATCCTGCCCCGAGCCGAACACACCAGTCGTCCCCAAGCAACCTCCAAGCTACCCGAGGCGAAGTCATCATTCACCCGAGGCAAGGACTTGGTAAAATATTCACCTCCAAAGTATCATTTCTGAACAGGGTGGCATCATTTCCTAAGAAGAAGGATCATTTCCGATGTACTCGGAAATTAAAGGAAAGAATCTCCAAGGATCAATTCAAATCAGAAAATCTTCCAAAAGCTCCGAAAAATAAGGAAAGTATCATAATCCGCGATATTCTACGCCGAATTCAAGATAAATGGAAATCTTTCGAGAATATCGCTGGAGAGACGGTTTACCACCCCTATATAAAGCGACTCAAGACTCTCACAAAAGGGGCAAGCAAAAACGCTCTAGACTTCAGACTACAAACGCTCAAGCAAAAAGCTCCGACTCTCAAAAACAAACAAACACTTTTCTTTTTACGATCTAGTTCTTTGTACGATCAAAGCTATTCTTTTCATCAATAATATCAAGAACACCACCTTTGGTTACAATTTTTTCTGTTGTTCTTTGAGAATTCTCGCATATTGTATCCCTAAATAAAACCCTAGACAAATTTCGATTGTGTTAAGTTACGATTTTCACAGTAAAGAAAGATATATACATTTGAAAAGTACCTCCCAGCTAATTTATAATGGCAAAACAATGTGAAAGATTAACTTATTGTCCTAAACGAACAGACGAAGTGAAGTTTACAAGGTAGTAGCTTATTTGCTTTTTCTCAATTGATCAATTTTTTTTTATTTTTGTCATCCGAAATTACTTAAAACTCAAAAGAGGCATTTATGGGAAATGTTGTTTAGTTAAAGCTCAATTGATCAATTGTTTAAATAAGTTCTACGTAATAACTTTTGGGAATTTCTTTGAATCATAAATTACATTGAAGTGTCAATTTTTTTACATATTTTTCACAACTTATATCTGTCAAAAGTTCCTTAATATGAAGAAGGGTTTCTTTATTCTTAAGACTAAACAAAGCTCAGTCTAATAAAGTCTCATGGTGTCGACAAGCTAGTTGTTTACGACACTGTTGGTACATGAGTAGTTAACGAAACTCCTGACCGATATCAAACGTATTTAAGATTCAACTACTGAATTAAGTTTGAATTTTATAATCTAACCCCACCTCAAGGTATATGTCCTTATCATTATTTCTGGAAAAAGAAGTAAAATAATCAAATATACTAAAAATTTAAAACAATGCAATTGGCTTTATTCTTCCTTTGTTCAATGCGTAAATGGCTCGCATGTCTCTCCCACTGTCCCTTCTTTTCCTAAAACAAACAAAACATCTCTCTCTCTCCACAATTATAGCTTCTTAATTTTCAACATTTTCTCCACAATTATAGGCTTCTAGTTTTCTTTTGTTCTCCATCCGTTTGGCAAATATTTTTATTTTTTGTGACTTGTTTGCTTAACTTTTTTCTATTTATGGGTTTATTTCATACGTCTTTCTAAGTAGACATCAATTCTAATTAGACATCGATACGGAAAAGTTTAGATAGTAGAATATGTTGGGGTTCTATTAGAGGGCAAAGTTTTTTCAGTGATAGACAAAGATATTGAAGTCATAGAAGCAGTCCCAACGTAAGTGGTTTTAGACGTTATCTCAGTATTTTTAAACCAGAAAATCGGTCAGCAGCTAAGTAAAATGGAAAACAAATAACAAGATCGGATAAAGTTGCATCGAGTTATAAAAGACGACATTCACAAGGTATGCCACCACTTATGAGCTCCTTCGGTGAAAAAAAGAGAGAGATCACAAGGTTTTATCGTATAAACGAACATGATCTATGGCAAAAAAAAAAAAAGGAACATGGTTGAATTTTAGCTATAAAAAAAACGATGGTATTCATAGTTTATAGTTTCTCATACGTTCACAATATTTATTAATAAATTAATGTATGTATATACACAGTTAGATCAAGTCTCTTGTTTTAGATAGCGATACAATTCACTGGAATGTAATGTTAAAAAAAAATTAAAAATAATGATCCCATTCCCATCAATACAATTAGTCAACTATGATAGTATAGCTATTTGCTTATGTGGACACGTTTTCTATGGATTATGGAAGCCAGCAATTTTTTTTTTTTTAATGAATAATAAAGAAAACAACGGAGCCGATAAACAGTTTCTGGTCAAAATGTCAAACTTCACAATGAGAGCGCCACGCAAGCATGCGTTTTTAATACAGTAAACTTTTAACAAATAAAAGACAAAATAAAAATAGAATCTATAAAAATTTTAAGATCTACTAGAAAATAATAAAGTAAACCCTAGATACCCATGTGAATGTAGGCTTGTTAAAACTATAGTAATATTTAACATAGGGAATGGTAATAACAAAGATATATGTATATATGTTGTATGGAAACAGAAACGGAAACGTGGAAGCGAAACGTTTCGGAAACGGGAAACGATTTTTTTCTAAAATTAGGGATTGGAAACGTTTTGGAAACGTATACACATATATAGTATATATATATATATATATATATATATATATATAACATTGACATAAAACTATAAAAATAGTTTAATTAAACAATACAAGTCCAAAACATCAAATATTAAATAGGTTAATTAAAATTCTAAAAGAAAAAAAGATTAAAAGGTTCAAGTTCAAATATTTAATTTAGACCAACATTTTCATTCTCATTTTTATTAGTTTCATCGTAGATCATATAAAGATGCCTCCAAATCTAGTTTGTCGATAAAAAAAATCTTAAAATTCAGAATCTTCCAAAATTAGTGATATGTATTACTCTATAAATCTTAATCTTTTCAACTTTTATTTATTAAGTTTCCAAAGTCAATAAAAAAGATTCCATCGTGTTTCCAAACATAGATTTTTAGGAAACGCGTTTCCGTAACGTTTTTCGTGTTTCCGAAGAGTTTTCGTTTCGGAAACGGGAAACGGACCTCGAAGAGAGTTTCCATGCAACATTAATATTTGTTTCCCACATTACAAGAAGATGTTTCCATGGCTCCAATCAATATTATAGAAAAAATCTTATCATTTTCATTATTTTTAATTCATTGCCTTTTTTTAAATATACACTTAATTAGGTGCAATTTATTAGCTTTTTTACCAAACAAAATTATTAATTATGTGACATTATGCATAGAAGAATGATATCTGATGTAATTGAAAAGAAAAAAAAAAAAACAAAATCATTAGTTATGTTGACCAATAAATAAAGCGAAAGATAATTTATTTACAAAAAAATAATAAATGCATGAAAATGGGAATATTATTAAGCTGTCCACAAATATCACTATTACGACGGCGATAAAAAGCAATTTTCCAGTTTAATGTTAAAAATAAAAATAAATAAAAAAGCAAAAAATCCTAATTCAACCAAAACGTCATCGTTTCAAGTTGTCTTCAACCTCACCCACAGTTCTTCGGTCTCATCCTTTTATAAAATCCCTATTTCCTCTGACGATTTTTCGCCTCTCTCTCTCTCTCTCTCTCTCTCTCTCTCTCTCTCTCTCCTCTTCCGGAGATTTTTACTCAGGTACATCTCTCTCCTTCCTTCGTCTTCTTCTCTCAAGTTCCTCTCATGGCGGATTTTACAGATCGAAGTTACTTTTCTTCATTCACAATCATTTTTCATAGATGTTAGATCTGTGGTTCTTTTATTCTCATCGTTTTCGTTTTTGAGTCTCGGAGTTTTGGTTAAATTCGAGTCAAAACTTCTTTGTGTTGTTCTAATTTTTTAAAAAAATCTCTTATGAATTTTGAATTTTCTCGGATCTGGGTTTCGACTTTAGCCTATTCGGTCAAACATCATCGTTGGCTTTTCATCCGAAATTGGTTTCTGTGTTTTTTTCAAAAATCCTTATAATAGCCGATCTCTCTGAAACTTTGAATGATCTATTTTTTTTTCCTTCCTCTAAAGCGAAGTCATAAATCAAAGAGAAAAGCTCTGAATTCAGATCCGTTAGTTTTCTTCGTTTTCCTTGAGAGAATTTCTCAGATCTTATAAAGTAAACCCTAGTTTTTTTCTTCTTGTTGTTGGATTTTGAAATTAGATTCACCATCTTTGAATCGCTTGCTCTGTGATGGATCTGATCTGATCTGATCTGATTTTGATTACAGGCGTTCTTCTGTGGATCAAAGGTGAAGAAGATGAATCATTGCAACCTTCAGCAGAACGCCTTCATGACTCGTGAGGAGATGGTGGGATTTGATCGCAAGGATCTTGTTGTTTGTCCTAAGCCTCGACGTGTTGGTTTACTCGCCAACAACGTGATTCGGCCTCTCAGATTACATATGAGGTAATTAAACCATCCTCCTTTAGTTTTTGCTGTGATTAGAAACAATCATTTACACAAGTCCTTATAAAACTCTGTTTTCGATTGTAGTCAAGCTGCTGCTGATTTGTGTGATTCTAAAGCTGGTGCAGAGCTTTTGGAAATCATTCGTAGAAAGGTATGCTTTTGATCTTACATGAGTCACTTCAGGCTACAAGTTGTGATAGTCTTTGGTGCCCCTCTAGATTGTATTTTGATTACAATCTTTTGATCTGCCTCAAAAGCTTTCCTTGTTATGCTCTTTTATCTTAGTAGATTCTGATTCGTTATCCTTTGTTGTGATCTCTTTAGGAGGATAATGGAACAATAGGGCAGTTACTATCATCATCGCCACCATATTTTCCTGGTTCACCACCCAGCAGAGCGGCGAACCCATTAGCCCAAGATGCTCGTTTTCGAGATGAGAAACTCAATCCAGTCTCACCAAACTCTCCTTTCCTTCAGCCCAATTCGGCAACCGGTTTTCCGTCTCCATCTTCTTCATCATCATCGTCGTCCCGTGGCTGTGTTAGAATGAAATTTGGACTCAACTCGCCTGCAGTTAGAGTAGAAGGATTTGATTGCTTGAACCGTGACCGCCAAAACTCAAGCATCCCTGCCATGGCTTAGTAGACAAACAAAAGAACAAGTGTATATAGAGATTCCGGAATCGTTCACCAATGCCTAACAGAGGAGGATTTGATTACTACTGCTGCTGCTATTACTACTACCATTTTTGAAGTAAATGAATATGTTTTTGTTTTTCATCTTTTCCTAAGAGATCGAGAGGGAAGAGGAAGGAGGAAGGAGGAAGATGAAGATCAGTTACCGTCGCCGGTCACCGTTTTTTAACTGTTTTATTCAGGTTAGTGTTTGTATATAAAGATGCAGTATTTAAAAGAAGAGTCGAATCTATGTATTCGTTTGGTGTTTTTCTGGGTCGGGCGGATCTTTATTACTGTTATATATAACTAAGGGAGAAGATTAGAAGAAGCTGTAAAATTTTCTCGGGGAAAAAAAACTCTGGTTTCTATCTTCTCGTTGTAATATAGATAATCAATTTGGATTTATCTTCTATCAGAGAGTATCATCACCATTGTATATAGTAATGTTTAATTTTCTTCTTCTTGGTGACTTAGTTCTCTCTCACCTTTGTATATGTATTCTGGCGATCTGATACATCTAATTGAAACCTGCAAGTTTTTTTTAGCTTTTTTAACTATTCGTACATACAAAATTCAAAGTGATGGTGAAGATATTTTGTTGAGTACAAAAACCAGTAATCCTCGTGAATCGCCACCGTATTGCTATATCCTATAAATGTCCCATATGTATCACCTACACCATGCTATGTGTATTTACAAACACCTAGAGAATCTCTTGTTTATCCATCCACGGTATACATTTCGGGTCTGATGTGAATGATCCATCGCAAATGAGGTCTCTTCCAATTAACAGAGATGTTTCGACTTTCGATTCTAAGTTCCGGCCATCTTATACTCTTTGCTTGTAAAAATCAGTAATGTCAATGGTCCATGCATGTTTCGAATTTGCGACCTATGGTCATCTTCCTACAAATTACAAAGTCATTGGTGTGGCTGCTGGTCCATGCACGTTGTGATTTGGCAATGTCTTATGTGGATCATAATCTCATTCCTCGATTTCCATAAGCACCAAAACACCACAAAGGATAGTTAACTACGGCAATTGATAACCCTTTCACTCCATCCCCACCATAAGAATTCCCCTAAGATTGTCTACTAGGTCCAAAGTTTTGCAAGTATCCTATATGTGGAACCCCTTTAGTTTGTAACAATGTTGTTGTACCGAGAGCTCTTAACATAAATATTGGGTTATCAAATGTGAATCCCTTGAAGAAAAAACAACAACAAAAAACAAATGTGAATCCCTCTAGTTTTTTTTTTTTTTTTTTTTTTTTTTTTTTTTTTTTTATTATTTTTTTTTTATATCATTATTGGATCAATGTAAACCGTATATATATTGGTTTATCTAGTTTGGGATCAAATTCATAATTCCATTCGATAAAACCAAGGAAAAAAATGATATATTACAATGTAAATAGAACTCTAACGATTAAACTATGTTAACTACGTTGTCTTGTGATGACCATGAACCGCCACAAACTTACTATAACGACCATTATTAACCGCCAAAAAGTTTCTCTCTTTCTTCTCTTCTCTCTCCCTCTCGCGCCTCTCACTACAAAAACTTTGCCGATCGAACCGTAACAAGTCTCTTCCCTCACGCTCTGTTCTTCAAACTCTCAAGCATCGCACTGTGCTTGAGAGAGAGACTTTCTCCTCTTTTTTTTTGTTTCACCCTTAAAAAAAAAAGAGAGAGTAAGCAATTAAGTAGAGAAAAACAAAAAATGGCGGGCGATGATCCTAAGCCATCCGCTCCAAAAGACAACGGGTATGAAGATCTCTACAATGACCCATTTGATGGGTTCGGGGGATTTACGGACGAAGATCTAATAAATGTTATGTCAGACTTGAATCCTAATCTTATGGATATGTCTTTCACGGAACACACGTCTCCTCCTGTGTTTCCTACCTTACCATTAGATGTGGACGACACTCAGTTACTTCATGAATTAGATCTCTCGATCACCAACTACGACATCAAGGATGAGTTTGATAGTCTGTCTTGCGTGGATGATGGTTTTACCATCTCGTTGGACATGTATGACCAACCTAATGATGATCTGAACGACAACAATGATGTCCCAGGAGAGATTGGTAATGATAATGGTAAAAGCATTGTTGATGAAAGTACAAGACTTGAAGTGAGCACTCGAGTTTTCGGTGGTGCTAATGGTCCAGACTTTGAAATTGGTGGTTCATCAACAATACCTGTCCCGGTTACACCGACAATCTCTGATGGAGTTTACGTATGCGGTTGTTGTAAAATGCTTCGAGAATTAGTCCACCTCAAGAGTATAAACATCTATCATTAATATTTTGATATTTATTGAAATATGTTTTGGTTACAATTGATATTGGTTGTTTATATTCTTTGATTATATAGAAGAGGTGGAACGGAATACTCTTAACATCTTTGGAGGGATTGGTTTCTTTTGCCATGCGGTTCTTCTGACTGAACTCTTGTTTCCTGATTCTATGGAATGTCAACCTCAAACAATTCATCTAAAAGAATTAACGATGGAGGAAGTTAAAAAGTTCATAGAAGATTATTGCTCCCATAGAGTAGCAAGTGGGTTATCACTTGTGCGAGACACTAATGCTGCTTTCTATCAAGCAATGAGTGCCAACTTCATCTCTAACCAGTCAACGTCTATGTTGACAATACCATCACCCACTGATGTTCCAATGTCTTTGGTTTCGCCTGAAGAAGCTCGCCCTGTTCCACCCGCGCCGCCACATGTTGGACTGAGAGAACAATCTACCACCAAGTTGCCGAAACAAAGGGAAAAGCGAAAAACCCCTCTCGCTGCACAGGTTATATCTCTAATTTCTCAATTTATAACCACTTATAATAACACATGATCTGTTAGGATTACATGATACTTTCACTACAAGGAATCCTTTTAATAATAGAGAGAGTAAAATATATTTAGATTTTGGGTTGCAGACATGGTAATTGTAGTACAAGAAAGTCTTCTAGTAATCTGGTTATATAGAGAACAGTGACTGAACATTAAGACAGTTTATATTATCTTATTGTAGAATTATAACCACTAGTAATTCTTGAGCAAAGATGACAAGGTGTTTATTAGGGTTAGTATTTGTATTATGTGACTTGTGCTACAAGAAATTATTTTCATAGTAGGTTTTATTGAAGAAGGCACTAATCTTTGGTTTTGTGGTTCATTATCTATGTGCCGAGGACAAGAACAGAGAGAAAGGACAAAACAAATGACATTGAAGGATATTTGTCAGCTTTTTGATCTCCCAATTGAACAAGCGGCCAAGGAGATGAAAGTGTGTGTAACAGTTCTAAAAAAGATCTGTCGGAAAGGAAGCCTTAGGCGGTGGCCTCACCGCAAAGTAATTGAATCAAAACACTATAAACAAGTCTCACTTTTTTAGAAGTTGTTTTAGCTTTCTTTTTTAGTTTTAACAAGTTATCTGTTAAATTGATCTGTAGATAAAGAGTCTCCAGGCAAAAATCGAGGCATTGAAGACTTTGTTACTCACGGCAAAGGATGATGGAGTTAAGGCTCGTGCTGAAGCTGAGATAGAGAGGCTGCAGCGTCATATAGACAAGATTTGCAGTGACATACTCAAAAATATGTAATTTGTTTTTCATTCAAAATTCAAAGACTTGATACTACGTACATTTCATCGTTTCTTACGTTTAGATACACACACAGTTAGTTGAAAGTTAAATTTCTTGAAGGTTTCCAGCATAACAATAAATTTCTTGAAAAGTTAAAATAAAATACAACCACTCTTCTCTTTTTTTTTTTTTGTTCTGCTTACATCTGTTTTCGATCATATTGTTTGTTACACAAAGCTTATGGTAGAATGGGCTTCAAAATGAAAATATAAGCCCAATAGTGGCGCCATGTAGCCGTCAGGAAAATCGGTTACAAGAATTCAGTTAAGATATTAACACGTGTCAAATTCGTATTGGATTGTTAAGTGTTGTAAGAAATATTGAGGGACCGTATAAATTCTGCCATCTTCTTCGCTTTTCTCTTTCTCGCTTCTTCTCTTCTCTAATCTATAGTTTTCTACTAGGAAGTTTGTTACCGGCGGCGATTGATCGTAACAGATTCTCACCGGAGAATCGGTTTTGGGGAACTGGAATCATTTTCCTTTGGTGTGAAAGAAGATGAAGATAATTGTAAAAACTTTGAAGGGGACTCGCTTCGAGATCGAAGTTAAACCCAACGATTCGGTAAGGTTTCGTCGAACACTCGCGTTCCATATCTGACAAAGTTATTCGTTCTATTTCTTGTTCATTGTGGTGGAAGTTTGGTCAACGATTCTTTGATTGGCGGTAATTAGGGTTTTCTCTGTTAATCATTCGTTTCTTGATCTGTAAGTTTAGTCACTGTGGGTGATTTCTTAGAACGGCGTTACTATATTTTCTGAATTGACGATTCTTGAATGGTTTCTTCTCTTTTGTATTCTATTGGCAAATGGATTATTTATGTGAATTCTTGATTGTTAGTTTCCATGAGCTGATGGTTTGTTGCTTAGGTTGCTGAAGTGAAGAAGAAGGAAAAACGGTCTACCCCTCAGAAGTATTGACATCACGCCAGATAGAGCCCATTCTTTGACCTCGGTCCAGATGTCTATGAAATGGAAGTTTGACATCTACTTCCCCCGAATTGAAAGTTCAAAACTTATATCTCCCCAAAATCACAGTTCAAAACTTCATTACCCACATACACTGGTTTGTTGTTTACCAAACAACTATTAACCAGATTTAAACCAAAGACACCAACAAAATCACTAAACCAAACCAAAGACAACAACAAAATCACTAAACCAAACCAAAGACAACAACAAAATCACTAAACCAAACCAAATTTTTTTTTTGTTCACCATCGTTTTGTTCAGAGCTTGGTCGGAGCGTTACCATCGGGCGTGGGCAACTCAAAATAATTCCTTCCTCTAATTCTCTAAGTTTGGTGAAGATGAGATTCTTATATACACTTCTCTGCAGATGTTTCTCTACAATTTGTGACATCCCCCAAAACAAAATCAATTCACTTTACAAGAGTACTTGATTACACAAAGTTAAAAACAATAAACGAGATTGATGAGAAAACGAACTGAAGACCATGAGAAAGCTGGACATTGCGTACGACTGGGAAGACATGGCACCGAGGAGGAGAAGCATGGTTGCAATGGATGCTTCCGCAGCAGCTATTTGAAACGACAATGGCGGCGATTGATTTCATGGGCTGGACGAGCATAGAGATGTCCAAGAAGAGACCGGTGGTGATGTTGCTTTGACGTGAAGACAGTGGCAGCTTGACTCCGGCAACGACGAGGAGCAAATTATTTCTCCCTTGATTTGCAGTTGAGACTTCATATTGTGTTCTTCATTCTCACTGTCGATTCGACATGGGTTTTTCTCTTTGAATATTTTTTTACCTCATCTTGTTCAATCGAGGAAAAAAGCTCTCCTCCTCAAATCAATTTCGATCAATCCAATACCGATTCATGTCGCTAATCAAGTCCTCGAGCTTCACAAACCTCAAATCCTAACACCCAGACCCACGAATTAACCAACTCATTGGGGGATTTTAACATTCGAAGACATCAAAAAATTATATGAAGCATGTAATTTGATTTATGCAAATCTGGGTTTGCAATTTCTGAAATTTTGGATTTTATTACACAAAACAGTCAAATTTGAATGGAATTGGATCGTGAATAATCTAGTTTTGTTTCTCTGGGTCTTATTGATCTAATGAACAAATCACATATTTCTCTGGTTCATGTCGTCTTTATTCGACACGGGGAAAAAACGAGAAGAAGAAGACGCACGCATCAAAGAAGGTGAAGAATAAAAGTGTTTTTAGGTTAAATCCGGTTTTTGTTGTATTGGTTTAATTTGGTATTTTTAATTCGGTTTCGTATTGGGTTTATATGGACTTTTATGAGATTGAGTTTGTAAACCAATTAAACCCAGATTATGGAGAAATAGATGAAAATTTTAGATTCATGGAGAAATTGATGTTGAGCTTCTATTTCATGGACATGTAGACCGAGGTCAAAGAATGGGTTCTATCTGGCGTGATGTCAATACTTCTGAGGGGGAAATAGACCGTTTTTCCGAAGAAGAACATAGAGACTGTTCTGGGAGCTAGTGAATATCCTGCTGCACAACAAATTCTTATTCATAAAGGGAAAAAGCTTAGAGATGAAGCAACAATGGAAGAGTTTTTGAGAAAAGTGTTATTGCCATTATTATGATAACCAAGGTGCGTTAATTTGGGTTTAATTAGTAATGGAAGTTTGAGGTTTAGTGTTTAGCTGAGATTCTTGATTCTTGTACCTTTTGCATCTTGTGATTCTGAAATACTCTCTGTTTCTTAACAGTTTATACTTTGTGTTTGATGAGTGATGTAACAAACAAGTTAAAAGTGTTTAATTTGTTGAGTTTTTGGCTAATGATGAGTTTTGCTGCAGGGATGTCTAGAAGAGATGGGGAAGCAGCCTCCATCATACGAAGACCTAGTAGACCGGGAGGCGGCGATGATCTTATGCTCTATACTCCACGAGCCCACTGAAGAAATAGAGGGGTAAAAATTGTCTAATATGATTTAGAAACTAAGCTTTCTTTTACTCAACTTATTTGAATTTTTTTTATGGTATGATAAAGAGACAGTGGCAACGAATTGGCACAACCTGAAGAGGACTTGTTGCAACTCCAAGTCACAGCTGTGGATAATGAAGCAATCAAACGGGTTTGTTTTATTCATAAAAGCTTTTAATAGTCTCAGTATACTAATTTGGTAAATGAAAGTTTGATTGATTGTGTGCATATGTTTGGTTGGAAAAATAGCTGGAAGCGATGGGATTCGAGAGAAGGTTGGTGTTGGAGGCGTTCTTCGCTTGCAACAAGAACGAACAGTTGGCTGCAAACTATCTTCTCGATCACATCCAATAATAACATCCACTCTAAATCAAACTTGAGTGTTTTTTTTTCTTTTGGGGTCCTTAAGTGGTTACATGTTATGGACAATCAAATGTCTTGTTATGGTTACTTTTTGCTGTTTTACATAGTTGGGGTGATTGATTTGTAATTGTACCTACCTTTCGTTACAAAACTGAAGTTTTTACATATAACTCACTATAATCATTTCCAAAAAACACTACGAATTCAAGATTTTTGTTTGATGCTTTGTAGCTAATTCATATATATAAACTTGTAGTGGCTAAGAAAAAAAAAGTTCTTGTATATGTCGTCGATAAATAAACCAACTGTTTAGTTTTTTTGGCTATAAAACAAAGCATTTTCGAATATGAATATATTTCCACGAAACTACATTCTGTATTAATCTACAGTTTTACACGCCTTTTGTGTGTTTAATTTTTTAGGCAAAAATCATTTTCTCTGCCACGGTTAAGACAGGGGGGAAGAATAAGAGAAGTAAATATTCCTATCGAATGAAATATCCATTTGGTGCATTCAAAGAGAATATAAGAAAAGCTCGAATATTACCAAGATAAACTATATATAGTCAAAATTTGCACAAAAAACAAAAAAAAAAACTATAGTCTTTTTTTTTGTGCACCCAAAAAAAAAATTATAAAATCAAAATTACTTATCAGAAGATTTTTTCACACCGTTTTTTTTTTTTTTTTTTTTTTTGACAGCGATTTTTTCACACCGTTTTCGCCTTTTGCTAATATAGGAAACAATTGAGTTGTATACATAAATATTTATTCTTAGAAAAAAAGTATGAGGATTAGTGAATAAATCATAACTTGTATTAAGGTTAATGGTTAACATTTGTTTTCACTTTTCAATCAACACAATAACAATTTACAATGAAAAGATAAAACATACAAAAATGTAAAAGAGTATTCGAAGGGGAATATATCATAAGAATTTTAGAAGATTTGTGAATTGTACTTGCCCATAGAATCTTTGCCGACTTTATGTTCTTTTGACTTCTCTACTTCAGTTTATATAAAAAAAAAAAAAAACTTCCACACTGTTATTAATTATGCATGCATATAACTGAAGATTTCATTTGATGAGCCAAAGATTTTTCTTCCGTGGCTCCTAAAAGCTTTGTGTGGGTATAGAACTAACTATGCATCTCAAGAACTTAAAATCAATCATTATTCGCCCTCGATCGAGTAAAGTTAACATTTGATATCTAGTATCTACCTACATATAAAGAAACAACTTCAAATGGAAAATGTAAAGAAGAAAGAAAAAATTACAATATGAGAAATGATTAAATTTTGTGGTTTATATCCATTTGTCTTTTGGCTATTGGATAAATATGTAGATAAATATAGGGATATCAATCCAAAAACAGTATTGTTCGAAAAGGACAAACAATAGTCTTGAGTTCCACTTTGTAATGATACAACTAAGAAGTGATGGAACAACACGAATTGCTTGGGATCAAATCAACTTAAACTCAACTTACAATCATTTTACTATTCATAATACACGACTGGCAATAATTTTATTCTTTTAGCATACATTTATATTGAACCGTATTAATATAATATTCCTTGTAATTTGAAAATATGAAAAATCTCACGTGAAATATAATTCTTTTTTCTAATGTGAACACGTGAACTAGTGTGATATAGTAATCAATCCTGATTTTTAATCGGGCTTTTTGTGTTCTTTTTTTTTTATAGTCGTGGTGTATATTTTAAAATTGGGAATATTTAATAACTGAAACAAAATCTAAAATGGTGTATATTTATTTGCTACGATTGTAATAAAATTTTAATATACTTATAGTCTACATTCATATATATGCTAATAAAATTTTCTTTTTAAAACATATATACACTTTAAAGTTTAAACAAAAGAGACGTGGTTGACAAAAAAAAAAACACACTAGAGTCGTGATGTAATATGACGATTGACGGATATGAAGTAATGAAGATTCACCCACTTGATCTCATGCATGGATCGTTAATCTCATCTATACTATAGATGCCTTCAATGACAATAAAATCCGGCATTTTACAAGTACCGTAAATTAGTTTTGATTCCCAATTGAAATTCCAAATACTATATTTTAAAGTTTTTTACATATACTTTCCTATAAAGTATCTTAGATAAATATAGATATATACAAACTTCTCTATATAAAGAACTTCAATGAATCTCTCATCTCACTCAATCCAAACTCAACCAACAACGCTACACTTCATCATAAAAAATAAAAAACCAATGGCAACCATTTCCTTCCCTCACAACCACCAATCATCCGACAGCCGCCGTGGTGGATCCCACCACCACCGTCACGGCCCCGTCGTGGAAGAGATCGAAGGACTCATCAAAGTTTTCAACGACGGCTGCGTCGAAAGACCTCCCATAGTTCCCACCGTCTCACCCACCCTTCACCCATCTGCTAAAGCCACAGCCTTTGACATCAAACTATCCAACGACACATGGACACGTGTATACATCCCCGACGCCGCAGCAGCCTCGCCGTCCGTTACTCTCCCTCTCCTCGTTTACTTCCACGGCGGTGGCTTCTGCGTTGGCTCCGCAGCTTGGAGTTGCTACCATGACTTCTTGACCAGCCTCGCCGTTCAAGCCCGTTGCGTTGTCGTCTCCGTAAACTACCGTTTAGCCCCTGAACACCGTCTCCCGGCGGCGTACGACGACGGCGTTAACGTCGTCACGTGGCTAGTCAAGCAACAAATATCTAACGGTGGATATCCTTCTTGGGTGAGTAAGTGCAACCTCTCAAACGTTTACTTGGCCGGAGATAGCGCCGGAGCCAACATAGCTTACCAAGTCGCCGTCAGAATCACCGCCAGTGGCAAATACGTAAACACTCCAAACCTCAAGGGCATAATTCTCATCCACCCTTTCTTCGGCGGCGAATCAAGAACGTCCTCGGAGAAACAGCAACACCACTCCAAGTCATCGGCTCTAACTCTTTCTGCTTCCGACGCGTATTGGCGTCTAGCTCTACCACGTGGAGCGAGTAGAGACCATCCTTGGTGTAACCCTCTGGGGAGCTCGACGGCGGGAGCGGAGTTACCCACTACGATGGTGTTCATGGCGGAGTTTGATATACTAAAAGATAGAAACTTGGAGATGTGTAAAGTGATGAGAAGCCATGGGAAGAGAGTTGAAGGTATTGTTCATGGAGGTGTTGGTCACGCTTTTCATATTCTCGACAACTCGTCGGTGTCACGTGATCGAATCCACGACATGATGTGTCGTCTTCACAACTTCATACATCCATAATAATTCCCTAAAGACTTTCTTTCGCAACCTTTAATTGATTTTAAATGTTGGACGTGAAAATAATGATAAAAACTTAATATGTTTGTGTTTTGATTGTGGATTAAAGTAAGTTTTGCTTTGTAGTGTTTTTCAATGGATGTGATTAGTATAAATTAGTACGATTCCTCCTCTATTTGGATAAATTATGTAATTGTAATATATAATTATAAGCTTTTGGTTTGTGTTCTATAGATGGACTTGTACTTTTAAGTTATGTATCCAATGTTTGAATATAATTTTTGCTGTACTTAATTAGGAATCTTTTAGCTTGACTATTATAATTTTATTTATGAGAAATATACTTTTTTTTCTCAAAAAAACAATAATTTGACTTTGATGACTTTTGTTTTCTAGCACTATAATTGTTTTCATAGTTGACTTTGATGACTTTACCTTCGTGATAGAGACATATACAAGTATAAATGTTGTAATGGTCAACACATATACTATGTCACTACAATTGTTAAAATAACAGAGGTAAGTCATTAAAATTTCTAAATCTTGTACTAATAATTTAATCGTTTCCTTAAAATATGTGAGTGTTAGCTATTTTCATTGTAACAGTTACATGTACTTAGAAATTGTTTATCCACGAGGTTAGGTTTATGTACATTTCACTCGAAACACACTTTGGAATCGAGTCAAAAAAAAAAAAAAATACGAATTGACTCAGTTAATGGTCCTAAAACTCCCAAATGCATAAAAGAAGACGATATTTATTCTTCTTCTTCAACTTTTTGACTGGGCTTGTTCAATATGCAGTGTTTGGTACGAATCACTATATAACAAGAAAAAAAAAAAAGTTGGTATCAAGATCAGTAACTTAAATTCGATACGTGTGTGTAGTATATCCCAACCCATTTTGAATTATTTTAGTTCTGTTCGGTTATATATTACACATTTGCCTGGGATGTTTGAGTCCAATGATATAATTTCAGCTAATTCAATGTTTCATCTGAAAGATGTTTTAAGCATAGTCAAAATCAGTCAGTTGCTAACGAATTATATATTTGATGATGAATGACATGATTTTTTTGAATCTAAATAGTCTGCAAAACTAAATCTATCAAATTTTTGGAACACCATTATTTTACTACCTACCGTTGATTTTTTATTAAAAAAATAGATTTGGATCTAAATTTATATTATGTTAATTAAATATCTTTCTTCAAATGATAATCGGAATAATATATTTTTTTATTATTAGTAAAATGTTGAGGGATTTATGTTTTTAAAAGAATCAAATTATTATTATGTGGCTAAAAGTGTAAAACATAATGATAATGTGGGTAAAATTTGTAATTTACGTAAATATCGAAGTCTCTACACCGATTAGAGTCTCTCAACATCGGCTTCACTTTTAAAACCCAGAAGAAAGCCCTAAAAGCTCTCCCTCTCTCTCTCGCTCGCTCTCTAGTTCTGTCTCCAGTTATTCTCTTCGCGTCCTGAATCTGTACATCGAAAATGTCAGTGCGAGTTCTGAATCCTAATGCTGAGGTTCTCAACAAATCGGCGGCGCTTCATATGACCATCAACGCCGCCAAGGGTTTGCAAGATGTACTCAAGTCGAATCTCGGTCCTAAAGGAACAATCAAGATGTATTTATCTCCTTTTGATTTAATCTGATCTATGTTCATCATTATCTTCAAATTCCTTATTTGTTTCTCACTCGATGTAGGCTTGTTGGTGGTTCTGGGGATATTAAGCTTACCAAAGATGGGAACACGCTATTGAAGGAAATGGTGAGTCTGATCTAATTGAAAAAAAACCCTAGATCTTATTGATCTGTTAGGATCGAGCTCTGCCTTGCTTTTTTTAGTGTTGAATGGTGCTCATAAGCCCGTGACTTGTGTCATTTAGTAGTTAGATTCCAGGAGTGTTGAGAGATTCAAGTATGATTTGGTTCAGTGTAGCCTTCTTTCTGCAGGATAGATTAGGTTGAAAAATGAAGTTTTAGTGTTGTTTAGATGATCAATGTAGGATTCTGATTAGGTAAAAAAGTGTTTTGTCAGCATTGTGAATAGAGAAGAAAGACGAAGGCTTAAGGTAGTGCCAGATAACCTTTGGTGTTGATATGGGTTATTGGTATTGCTCCTTAACAAGTTATTTTGGTTCGATGTTGCTTACATGCTGATTTCCTTACTGTTGCAGCAAATTCAGAATCCAACCGCCATTATGATTGCAAGGACAGCTGTTGCACAGGATGACATAAGTGGTGATGGTACTACTTCCACCGTCATCTTCATTGGTGAGCTTATGAAACAGTCTGAACGCTGCATCGATGAAGGTAAGTCGCTAATTGTTTGCTGAACTTATGTACCTTATCTTACGTTAATTTGTAAGAGTTCGTTAGTATAAACTGGTATCTATTTTTGTAGCCAGAATCCTAATTAAGGTTTGTACATGTATCAGGTATGCATCCACGTGTCCTAGTTGATGGTTTCGAGATTGCTAAGAGAGCTACTCTTCAATTTCTTGACAACTTCAAGACTCCTGTTGTCATGGGTGATGAAGTTGATAAAGAGATCCTAAAAATGGTTGCAAGAACGACACTAAGAACAAAAGTATTCTTCATTGTATTATTATTATCTTTCTTTTCATTTGATTTTTCTTTTCGCTTTCTAATTTCGATTTAATCTGGTGGCTTGTGTAGTTGTACGAAGGCTTAGCTGATCAACTGACTGACATTGTCGTTAATTCGGTAAGTCAACCGTTCTCTAATGCAATCTCATTAATGCTTTTCATTTTTTTTTTCGCACAGATGAAGACTCATCTATACACCAATATTGGTTTTCAAGCTTGTTTGTCTTCTAATTATCTACTTTCCTCACATTACAGGTTCTCTGCATCCGAAAGCCTGAGGAAGCTATTGATCTGTTTATGGTGGAAATAATGCACATGCGTCACAAATTCGATGTTGACACACGATTGGTATGTCTTGATGTGTGTAATTTACTGTAAAATAGTTCCCTTGAAACCCTATAGGTTTATATTTGAAATACTTGCCAGTTTATATGTTTAGGTTATAGTATGGAATAAAATATTTTTTGCCGGTTATGATTAAATGCTTATATAGTTTTGGACCTGTTGCAAATACTGACTTAATTCTGAATTAGGTTGAGGGGCTTGTTCTGGATCATGGTTCGAGACACCCTGACATGAAACGACGTGCAGAAAATTGCCACATCCTAACTTGCAATGTGTCACTGGAGTATGAGAAGAGGTGTGTAATATAATTCTTTGATCAATTCGGTGAAAGGGAAATAAGAGCCTGTATGTTTCTGGCGATGTAGACTAATATTTCTTTTTATTTATCAGTGAAATCAATGCAGGATTTTTCTACTCTAATGCAGAGCAGAGGGAAGCAATGGTTACCGCAGAGAGGCGATCTGTTGATGAAAGAGTTAAGAAAATAATTGAGCTGAAGAAAAAGGTGGGACTGCGACCATTTCTCCCAGCTGTATTTTAAAACCGTGTAAAAAATACTAATACATGTTTTATTTCTTGTGCAGGTGTGTGGTGATAATGACAACTTTGTTGTCATCAATCAGAAGGGTATTGACCCACCATCATTGGATCTTCTTGCTAGAGAAGGGGTAAGCTACTTCTGTGTTCTCTTGCATCCAAACTAATGTTACAAATCGCTGAAATTGTTTTCATTCGATATTTAGGAAAAATAAGAAAGATACTAAGGAAGAATGTGTTATTAAGTGAATTGAAATTGACAATAATATTAAAAGAGTAGTTCCTTCGATATACAATAATCCATGGAGACGATTGGCAGACTTAGTTTTTAGTTCCGAGACACTAACTGAGCTTGTCTCTTCTTTTGGACCTAATTTCTCTTGTTTAGAAGTTGTTGAATCTAATTACCTTTCCTCATGTGTCCAGATTATTGGTCTTAGAAGAGCTAAGAGGAGGAATATGGAACGTTTAGTTTTGGCCTGTGGTGGAGAAGCTGTGAATTCTGTTGATGACTTGACCCCTGAGTCTCTTGGATGGGCTGGACTTGTCTATGAGCACGTTCTTGGGGAGGAAAAGTACACCTTTGTGGAGCAAGTGAAGAATCCTAATTCATGTACCATCCTCATAAAAGGTATTAGGACGACTTCTATGTCTTCAGTAACTTTTGAAGGTTCATTTGTTCTTGTATTAGTTTTGGTGTTCATTCATGATTTCTTGGGTTTTCTAGGGCCTAATGATCACACCATTGCTCAAATTAAGGACGCTGTTCGTGATGGTCTAAGATCGGTCAAGAACACCATAGAAGACGATTGTGTTGTGTTAGTAAGTACCTTACTATATCTTGAAGTATTTTGTTAACCTTGCTTTCTAATTCTCTGCAATGTCAAAGAGATTGTTAATTCGTGATTAAAACCATGGGTAAGGTTAGCATATAGACCTATTGTATATGTTCTGCGTTATGTTGATGTGCGGTTGTTTTTTTCTGTAGGGAGCAGGAGCTTTTGAAGTTGCAGCAAGGCAACACTTAATCAATGAAGTCAAGAAAACCGTTCAAGGGGTAAATTGATTTCACTTGTACTTTAATTCTCGCAACATTATTAAATGCATCTTAAATATTCCAAATTACTGATACTATCATGAACATTGTAGCGTGCCCAACTTGGCGTTGAAGCTTTTGCTAATGCTCTTCTCGTGGTGCCTAAGACACTTGCAGAAAATGCAGGTCTTGATACCCAGGATGTGATCATTTCTCTTACGGTATGCATTCATCTCTCTTATCATCTTCCGCAAACTGAAATCAATTGTGGAAGGAACAAAGATTTATAATTGCTCATTGTGATACGCTTATGCAGAGCGAGCATGACAAAGGGAACATTGTGGGGCTGGACCTTCAGGACGGTGAACCAATTGACCCGCAACTTGCTGGTATTTTTGATAACTACTCAGTGAAACGCCAACTTATCAATTCAGGGTAATGTTCGAACCAACCAACCAATTCTAATCAAAGTCTTGGGTTCCTGTTGAAGCCATTTCAATAACCGGCTATTTGTTTGCGTTGCAGGCCCGTGATTGCGTCACAATTGCTTTTGGTGGACGAAGTGATTCGTGCAGGAAGAAATATGAGGAAGCCTACTGCTTGAAGTCCTTTGCTTTTAACTCTATTTCTTCTTTCTAAGCACCTCAAATTTTTGTTTCTTGGTGTAAATCCTGAATGTTGTGAATGAAACCTTTGTTTTTTTCTGACGATGAGAAACATATTTGAATCTGATCTCTAGATTTAGTGGGTTTATGCAATCTGAGGAAAAATGGAAATCCAAAAATCTATTACTATTCTTGTTGTAGTGATTACTGAATACACCCTTATTTAAAAAAGGCCACAGTTTTACTTATAAACGGATCTGTTTGCCTTGTCCATAATGAACAAGAAACAAAGAGTCACACTACATTGGTCCGACACAAATCTTTTGTTCAACAAAAATTTATATGGCCGAGGACGAGACTTTACCCTCTTCTTGAAGCATATACTCTCTCTTCATTTCCTCCAAGACATTGTCATTGGTGCTGCAGAATCAAGAAAAAAAAATTCATGGTTAGCCAACAATTAAGCATCGCTCCAACGGGAGATTTCCCATCAGGGAGTCACAAAAAAAGAACTTGTGCACCACGAACAAACTCGATACTGACTGTGCTACACCGATCGAGAACATAGTTTTTACATCTCTCTTATCCAGTAACAAAGAATCACCCCCTTCTATAAGCTTATATTTGGTTACACATATACTAGCAAGGATACTTCATGACAAGGGTGATTATGCGTCTCCTAACCACAAGTTGTCTCATTTCATTATACCAGACTAACCAGTGAAGTGTATTAAGAAAAAAAATAATCAAAATCCGATGCTCCCATACGCAACAAAATCAATATACCTAACAGTGAAAACAAGATGATACCAAAGGAGCACTAAAAAGATGAAAAACTTACAATTGATGGAGGCAAGTGTTGAGCTCTTTAGCTTGCTTACGACATGTCCATACCACAGAAAATGTTCTTCCTGTTGCGCATTGAGCATACTTTGAGACATACTGATCACATTCCATCAATGCCTTTGCCTTCATCTTGCTTCGCAGCGCTATTAACAGAAGTATACATAATCAATCACAAAAAGACCATCTCCACTATTACAACTTCAACAAAAATTTTAAGCTCAATTCAGAGATAAACGTAGAAGCAATTCACACACTCTATCAATGAGAGCTGCTAGAATCAGAAGCAAAAAATGGAGGTACTTCCAAGGGTTTATGAAAACCCGAATCCTCAATCTAGCTTAAAGGGTATCGATATGGTTGATCTCATTTTCGAGGCAATCAAAAATCATTTGGGGGTTTAGGGTTTTAAAACATAGCGAGATGAAAAAGTCACAACATTGTTAAATTACCTTCTTCGACCTTCTTCTTCACGTGATTCTCACGAGCTTGCTCCACATAGCTCCCCATTGTCGGAACCTTTGAGCTTTTCCGGCTTTCTCCGATCAAATCGATCAAAAGCGGGTAAAAGGGACTAAAAATGGGTTCAGGGCAAAGGGTAAATCCGTCAAACTTACCTTGTATTAACATTTTAGCCCCTTAATATTTTTATATTATATACTTGACCTCATAACTAATGATTTCTCACATTTCACCCACGTAAATTAAAAGTTACGGGCCAAAAATTAAACATTTCTGGTGGCGACTTCTTCATAATGCCCTTCCAGTTGCAGAGACTTTGGCTCACAGGCACTTACGGGTCTCACAAGAATGCTTATTCTGCGGTGAAGCAAGAGAGTCTGTTTCTCATATCTTTTTCCAATGTCGTGTGGCAAAAGAAATTTGGGAGTTATCGCCGGTTCACATTGTTGCAGGTCAGTTCACTGATGATCAGTCTCTATTAGACCATATCCAGACCCTTTTATCTAATGCCAAGCATCAAGCCAATACCAGTCATCTCTTCTCTTTTATTGGATGGCGCATATGGAAGGCCAGAAATGACATGCTTTACAATAATAGGAGAGTGGCTATCCCGCATATTATACATCAAGCTATTGTTGATCTTCGTCTGTGGACAGAATCTCAACAAAACATTGCCCCTCTTAGGCTGCAGTCTATGCAAACTAACAAGACAGCGCCGAAAACATTTCAGGAGGTGCTTTCTCATGTCCCTTCTCTTTGTTGTTGTACAGATGCCTCTTGGATAAATCAAGATAGTAAAATTGGTGTTGGGTGGACGCTACATGACTCGCATGGCCGATTTATACTTCAAGGAAGTGCATCTTTAGAACCAACTCAATCAGTCCTTGAAGCAGAAGCTCTTGCGCTTAGGGAAGCTTTGATTCATCTAAAGCGGCTCAACTACCAGAATGTCACATTTTGTGGAGACTCTTACTCTTTATATGGATATCTGGAAGGCAATATGCAAAAGAAGTTTCAGATCAGGGGACCAAGCGAAATTCAAGCTTATCTGCAGGATATTTCAAAGTTAGCCCATGTTTCTTACCAATTCCGTTTCATTAATAGAGCAGCTAATGTTTTAGCTGATACCTTAGCCAGAGAAGCACGTATTAATGATTCTCCATATGTTATCTCATGGGTTCTATAGTTGTAAGGCATAAACTGTAGTATATGGCTGTGTAAACTCTACTTTCTTTAATGAAATTTAAGGTTGACAAAAAAAAAAAAAATTAAAAGTTACGGACGAAGTTTCGAAATCCAGAAATTAAGTCAAGTCAATAGGTTACCACGTGTCGTCTTTTAGTTGGGTGATTTCTCTCTCTCTCTCTCTCTCTTTACTCTTTTCCAATTTAATGGTCACGGGACCGTCTCCCCCAAATTTCTCACTTCCTCTCATTTCGCTTCGAAATTCGAAAGCCCTAATTCCAAAATTCCCAGTTCTCAAGGTACGGATCCGATCTTCGTTGCTCATACTTGGACAATGATTTTTTTTTGCTTCTCGCATTCTGCGTTTCTTGTTGATATGTTGTTGATCTTCGCGTTTTGGTCGTCACTTCAAGATCTGTAGGATTCAGAGTTCGTTCTATCGATTTTGGATAGATCTAGCAGTGTAAATCGTTTGTAATAGTCTGTTCTTTGAGTGCTTGGATTGATTTTGTTAGAGATGATTGTTATCGCTTCTCTTAAATGCAAGATTGTTGCAGCATTACTGAGTTTTAGTTCGTGTACTTTTTGTTTATTCCTGCTGCTTTATATTTTCTTGTTGAAAACAGGTTTATCAAAAGAGTATTATTGCAAAGATGTCCCGGGAAGAGAATGTGTACTTGGCCAAGTTAGCCGAGCAAGCTGAGCGTTACGAGGAAATGGTTGAGTTCATGGAGAAAGTTGCTAAGACCGTGGACACTGAGGAACTTACTGTTGAAGAGAGGAATCTCTTGTCTGTTGCTTACAAGAACGTGATTGGTGCTAGGAGGGCTTCTTGGAGGATTATCTCTTCCATTGAGCAGAAGGAAGATAGCAGGGGTAACAGTGATCACGTTTCGATTATCAAGGATTACAGAGGCAAGATTGAAACTGAGCTCAGCAAGATTTGCGATGGCATTTTGAACCTTCTCGAGGCTCATCTCATTCCTGCTGCTTCTTTGGCTGAGTCCAAAGTGTTTTACCTCAAGATGAAGGGAGATTATCATCGGTACCTTGCTGAATTCAAGACTGGTGCTGAGAGGAAAGAAGCTGCTGAGAGCACTCTTGTGGCCTACAAGTCTGCTCAGGTTATCATCTTGTTTCTTCTTGTTAACCCTATAGAGTGCTAAGATAACATGTTGACTCACGCTATTGGTGTTTGTCTTTTTATGTAGGATATTGCTCTTGCTGATTTGCCTCCCACTCACCCGATCAGACTGGGGCTTGCTCTTAACTTCTCTGTTTTCTACTATGAGATTCTCAACTCATCTGATCGTGCGTGTAGTCTCGCAAAGCAGGTCTGTGTTACTTTCTCATTTGTTATATGGTTTATGCTATGCTTTCTGTTATTAACTAACAAACCTATAGTCCAACTGTTCTGCTTGATAAAACTTAAGCACATGAGAGGTTCTTTTTTATATATATCTTCATAATGTGGCAAAAACGTGTTATGTAGTTTACTTGTTACAATTTCCATGTGGGTAGACTTTTCATATGATCTAGTAATGGTTTGCAGATTGCTTATCATTGCCTGACCGATAGGACTGTAGTTAATTTTTATGATGGGCAGAATTGGGAAACTAGGTCCTGCGAATGTTTCCATACACTAGTGAAATTTGGACAAGCTTTACATTCTGATTCTAGTTTGATTCAAGTACCTTTTTGTTTAGTTAAAAATATGATTTTCATGGTGGTAGGCTTTTGATGAGGCAATCTCTGAGCTAGACACATTGGGAGAGGAATCATACAAGGACAGTACATTGATCATGCAGCTTCTGCGTGACAATCTCACCCTCTGGACTTCTGACCTCAATGTACTTGTCTCTTCTTGCACTCTTCATTGTTAGCAATCTCTTAGTGATTGCATCATGCAATTAAGTAAGATTCTTGTTGATTTGCGCATAACACTTGTGGCTAATATCTTATCTCCAGGACGAAACTAGTGATGATATCAAGGAAGCCCCCAAAGAGGTGCAGAAAGATGAGGAACAAGCCCAACCACCACCTTCGCAGTGATGAGATCAGGTCCATGGAATGATTTGCAAGAAGAAATGTATGGATTGGTTGTGTGTTTTTAAACAGAAAAAAACCTTGTAGTTTTCTTAAACAAGAGTTTGTAGTAGTAATTGTAGCTGCAGGATTTGATTCTATCCATGGATTAAAAGTCAAAACTCTTGTGTGCTTCTCTCTCTCTCTCACATGTTTTTGTTGTTGTTGCCCGTTTCACTATTAGACTGCATTTGCATTACATGGTCCGGTCTAAAAGAGGAAAACTTTATTCTCTTCTCTGATTGGAGTTTAGTCTTTTGGTTTATGCTTCTCTTGGTGAATGATCCCGTAAGGGAAATTGTTTAAGATATGAGAGTGTTGTTCAATTAAACGAAATATAAACGCAATTTCACAGCTTTAAACGAAACATAAAGCCTCTCGGTTTGGATTGATTGGAACAACCATTGTCTGTTTACCCCGTAAAGTTGTGTAGGCAACATATAATTGGAATAACAAATCATAAACCCTCCATGGCCATAAGTTAAAAAGTTTGATTAATTTATTTATAAAAGATTGTAATTACGTGGGGGGGGGGGGGGGGGGGGGGGTTATAAACTCTCTTAAAAAA